GTGTTGAAAGACTGGAGGTCCGGGATGGACCCCAATGCCAGGAAAGCCGCAGGTGTGATAGACCCTCGGAGGGACCGAAGATCCACGGACTTGAGCGTGCGGAAGAGTCCGCATACTGAGAGAATCGGGGCCGGATGTCTCGCAAGGGTGAGATGGGAAAGATTTGGTGAATCCGCGGAGAGCATGGTGAGGAATGTTTCAGTGGACGACGTCAGGGTGGATTGCAAGGTCAACGACGCGATTGAAGGTGATATGCAGAGAATGATCTCGGCTCCAGGAGGATCCGACTGGATGCACTCGAATCGCAGGAGGTTCGGCAGCAAAGGCAGGGTCCGCATGGCCAAGCGCACATAGACCAGCGAGTTGACACTGTGCGCTGTTTCTGTGTAGACGATTTCTCTGACATACGCAGCGCAGCGATCAAACGCGGCCCACTCGGAGTCGGTAATGATTCCACCCAGGTTCTGAGGATCCAGTTAAATCAGCATCATTAGGCATCCTAGGAAGAGCTCAACTCACATAAACCCCTCCGTTGAGCTCGAAGGACGGCAATACTCGTAAGAGTGGGAAAAGATTGTCGAGGCGTCGCCAGAGAATTTTAACGGCGGAGGATGAAAAGCTTTTGCACGTACGTGCAACAGCGTATAGGGAACGCCGAAAACGCCTCAAATCCGAGCTCGGGCTCGAACTCGAATCCGGCATCCGCATGTGGCGTAAAATTTCCTCGAGGAGATCCGAGTTACGGAGACATTGGTTTTGAGGACTGGGAGCCAGGGGTGCGGCAGGTGTATTATCTACTGCGGCGACGGTTTTACGGCGAGCCATGCTGGGGACACCGGGTGGTCGCAGGCGACAGAGTGGGGAAAAAATTCTTTGGCTATCTTTGGCGACATTCGGATCAATCCCGACACCGCACGTGATGATTAGCGCGAACCTGAACCTTTGACCTTCAGTAATGATCTTAGCTACCCCCTGGTTACCAATCCCAGTCTCGTGTCGAGACCAAGTGAGCATAATATCCTCAAGAGAACAAGGTTCGGCACTGCTGGTTTCCACGAATCACTTGCGAATCGTGGTTGAGTGTCTTCACTCAGCTTGACGCGTCCGACCGTCCACCGTCGGACGGCCGTCCCGTCCACCGTCCCGTCCCGTCAAGTGTTATGAGAGAGCCTCCGCTACCGTACCGTCGACGGACGGTCCACTGGACGGCCGTCTTGGCACCGTCCGTCCGCCGGGACGGACGGTGACGATCCCTATGTAACTCAATATGGGGCACCAGTGAGATTCAAGTGTACACGGCCAATGTTCAAGTGTCCACACCCTATCTATCAACCGGCCCTCCCTCTTCTTGTTCCCAACAATCCTTCCATGCTCGCATTGGGTTGATGCGCCGTGCGTCGAACCAAAATGAATTCGAGACTTTGATTGAGTGTCTCCGGAAACCTCGGATGCTTGCAGGATCCGGACGCGACATATTTCCTTCGACAATAGAGTAATGATCCTGGCACATCCAGTCAGATCCCATAGGGTCAGGACTCATCGATAGAATTTTCGCTCGGGATCGCGAGTCCCACAACCCAGCGAAATCTAGTTCCTTGTACGCACTTCCAACCGGTGTAGATCGCTCGGTTTTCTTCAGCTTGCATCGCCGAACTATCCGTGGCGTCCGTATTCTGATCCCGGGAATTGTGACTTGAGGCGGATGAGCTCAAACTGTAGGTTGAAATCGCGAGAATATAGGCTGCCTCCGCCCATGAGGGGGTCGAGCTCAATCTACTTCGAAACCCTGAGCTGATACCGAGCGTTTCAAAGCCTTTATTTTGGTCAGGGACAGACAGGGAATTAAATTTAAAATGACCCAGAATGTTGATGGAAGCCCAACAGCTGTTACGTAACAGTTGTCAACACCGGTTCTCCGTCGGTTCTTCATGAATTCCCTTCATTTCTTGAGGATACCAAGATGGATACTGGCCGGATGGCAGGACATACCATTCAGAATCCCCCGATATAAATTGAACGGGGGATTGGGATTTACTGAGCTTGTGTGTTTTCAGGGCCGGAGGACAAAAGGTGATATTCCAACGTTCCAGGGACCTTCCGCAGCGGAGGAGACGGAGTGTAAGGGTCGTAGAATCCAAAAAGATGGACGCATTGAGACTTGAACCCAACACCTCTGTCTTGTCTTCAGGAGGGGAGCACGCAACCGTGTCCCGAATGGATCTGATAAGCCCAATCGATGGGCAGTTGTGTACATGTGTGTTTCCGCTCGAGAAAACAAAAGGCTGGACTCATGGAGACTTGAACTCCAGAACTCCTGCATTGCGAATATGCTAAGCAGGCGTGATAAACCATCTACACCATGAGCCCGATGAGCGTGATGAACGGCAGCCGTTGTGGCATCCGAATGAATTTTACTACCCCCCAAGACCCGATGCTGCACCCCTCAAATGATTGATACTGGTATCTAGATCAAGAGCCCCAGGTATCAGGTAGTTCGGTCCATCTGTTACTTCTACTCCCCCACGTACATCGCATCGAACGCGGGCTGATTCCTCGACCACGAATGGATTGATGTTGCCCTGTTCCCGCTACTGGCACTGTGTTGGTGGATCGGACTCAGCCCGCTGTCCATACATCCGCATTTGAATCCACGTCAGGTCAGCTCCTCTCATTTATAATCTTCCCGGTGCTAAGAGTACGAGAGGATCCGTCCAAACAGCTCACACCCTGGTCAAATGGCATGCACACCACGGCTAATGGCTCGTTCGATCCCCCTCAACTGCACGAGTCGAATTTTAACACCATCCAGCCTAGCGAGCATGTTTTTATCCTGAGCACAACGCTATTGACGACGGAACCAGTGAGCTAAAATAACATTGGTCCTTGGTATAACCCCGCCTTCTACTCGGAAGCCTTCATGCGGCCCGTACTTCCATCGGAGTCGGAGATCTCCCCAGACTATGCCGAGAGCCTCCCAGGCGTCGCTGGAACTGCGGTTTCGCTAGTGGAGGAAGAGGCTTCGAGTTCGGCGCAGGCTAAAAAGAAACCTAGATCGCGCAAGGTCTGTTTATTGACTATCTTTCTCTGTGTAATTGCTAAATTCATTCAAACTGGTGTGATTTCAACATATGGGAGGTTTAGGATTTTGTTCAGTACTTTTACTGAATGCAATCTTTCCTCTCCGCTATGTCCTCGGCGAGCGAAAGTGAGCGGAAATCGTTTCCGGTATGATTAATGATCAATTAATCCTGTCGGAAAGGTGCCCCATCTTGGCCCCATCAGATGTGCCGCCTCTGAAATGAATGTAACGCGCGCGCGTCCATATCTCGTCCATCCCGGTTAACCAGCGGGCGATACGAGGTGACGTGGCGTTGAGGAGATGCTCGCGGGACCATGGCTGTTATCTGGTCGTGCAGTCACCGGTGATCGGTGTTCATCGGCCGAGGACGTGTCGGGCTCAACAATTGTCTGTGACTTTGTGCCGCACGGGAGTCGCTGCGCTCGGAAAGGGAGATTCCTCGCCAGGGTTTCTGGGTGCGCTCAAAAACAGTTGTCCCTCATGGTATTCACTGCCAGTTGAGAGACCGCGCGCTGATCGCTGCGCTCAGAGGCGGGCGGGCTGACCAATCTTGACCCTCGAAATCAAGTGGCGGCAGGGCGCGGCGCAAAGGAATGGTAGCGGGGGCGGTCGAATGCAGGAAGGTTCGGAGCAAGGGTAGCAACTGAGCGAGAGGGGTGATATGGTAAAGGTTGGTGTTCTCGTGTGGCACCGCGGAGCAATTTTGTACCCGCTGGTGCGTCGGAAGCGGAGGGGAATCCATGTTTGTTGTTCGCGTGGGGATACGGCCGCGTGATGCGAGTTGAATTGCCCTCTCCTGCGGTTAATTTAAATAAACGTGTCGAATCCATTCGATTCGCTGCTCCTCGCGGACCTGATTTAAATAAACCCGTCAGACCATGCCCCCTGCCGCCACGCTGCGCTCACAGTTGTGTGGGCGCCACGTTCATCGCTGCGCCCAGACACAGTTGTGTGGGCGCCACACTGATTGCTGTGCTCAGAAATGGATGCGTCCCCGCCACGCTGATTGCTGTGCTCAGACACAGTTATGCACCCACCACACAGATCGCTGCACTCAGTCACAGTTGTACACCCGCCACGCAGATCGCTGGGCTCAAATACAGTCGTGTGCCCGCCGCGCTGATTGGGTCACCTGGGCCCTGAACCCCTCGCAAGCTCGGCGCTCACGGGGCCCGGCGAGAAATGATTCAGAGGGGGGTGCCGTCCGGGATCGCCGCCCCTGTCCTCGCTCCGCCCGGATCAGGGGCCGGCGAGAAATGGTGGAGAGCCTGCGTGATTCCGGAGAGGAATACCGTAACCAAATACACCATGCGCCCGGTGAGGTGTCAAAGGACGCACATCGGATCCCCGTGAGATCCAGGATTCCATTTGTTACGGTCCCCCAGGATCACAAACGTCTTTTCGAGAGGAAGACTCTTGGGGTTAGTTTGTTCTGCCTTCAATTCGTTGCTGGGTTCGTGTATCATATCAACGGATATCACGCGCATGGTAACCCGGAGCTTTAATCGTCCACTGAGAGGAACTGCCGTGGTCTAATTTTATGCAAGTTGATACGGGAGACCGGAATCGGGAAAATTGAACGGTATCCAAGCAGGCATTGTCGCTGATTGGCCGAGGAAAGGAGCATCGCGCGCGTTCGTCGAAACGTGGTGGTTGGGCAATTTCCTATAACGGCCACTCCGCCGATTACGTCAGATATCGGCCTAAACGGGATTTCCCGATCATTCCTTTGTTGACGAGCCTTGCGCCCAGGGCCTCATGGCATGCCTCGGCTCACAGCTGCGGGACTTGGATACGAAATTCGTCGGAATCCCAAGGCGCATCATTGGATCGCGCAATCGGATAATCGATAGCGATGTCGAAGGAAGATGGTTGAGCCGACGACCCAACTGGTTATTCGCAACAAAGACGGAGCCAAAGATGATTCGACCCAGGCTCGAACTGAGGACCGCCTGTGGAACGCCGCTTTGGCAAGGCTGTTAGACAGAAGTGATAAACCAACTACACCATCGAACCGACAGAAGGCCACCGCTTGATGTCGTAGAGAATGTGCTTGGGATGAGTGAGGGAATGGTATCATGCATATCACGCAGTTGCGATCTACAGTTCAAGATGAGCATCCAAGAGAAGTCGGACTGCGTCAATTAGATAACTTCGCGTGCCCGTCGAATGCAAGGACTGGGAATATAATGCTAGGCAGACAAGTATAGAGTGTCCCCAGATAAAACTCGGTATTGGTTTATTTCTTAAAGGATGGGTGTCCTGATGGCCCACGTTGAAACATTCACTTGGTGGAAAACATTGTTCAGCCCGCCGAAAAGACCAACGCAGAACGGTTACAGGGTTCAAAAGGCGTCTATTCAACTCCCGTTGCGCAGGCTCTTTTATGGACCGTATCAAGCCGAACTTGTGCCGCGGGATACTTACTGTCTCATGTCGTTAAATAATATCTTTAATAATCACTGACAAATATGTATCGACCTTGGATGACGCATCGAAGTACATCCTCACTTTATAGATCTTGTACTGCGACATGGATATAAGCAGGGTGGCGGCGTATGAAGGTTGCACTTACCGAGCTGTTGATTCGACTCCTCAATGAGTGTCGCCAACTGACTCGTGAAGTTAAGCAGATCGCGCTCGGTGGCTCCCAGGCATGCATGGCAGGCGTCAATCAAGGCGCGCTCGCAGGGGGCGATCTTTACCGCGTATCGCGCGTGGGATAAGGCGCAGTTGCGCCACCAGGCGTGCAGTGTGGTTCTGGCGGAGTGAAATACCACGCCGATATCTCCCAATCCGGCCGAGGGCCGCAGTCTTCCCTGTGAGACCCCTCGTTCCACCGTACAAGCACCTCGGACATATCGAGATTCATGGGTCGTCAACGGTGTAGTGCAGCCCACGGGTGCGTGTCGAGGCAATTAGCTGCGCTGCTCGACCACACCGATGGTAAAAGTTGTGGGGGACTGGAAGGCTGCCGCAGGGAGGACCTCCAACTCGGGGAAAACGAGCGGAACGGGAGACATCGTGGAGTTCAGCGTCGAAAGAGCCGCGTTCCGCGCGAGCTCAGGGAGGTCCCGGAGCCGGGCAATAGCGAACCCTCGGTGGGGCTGCGCGTTCAGGACATCGGGCTCCTCCAACAGCCTCTCTAACAGATCCTTCGTGCTGGTGAACAGGTACTTCTGCGCCGCTTCGTGCACGGCGTATACCCCGTCCAGGTTGTCGGCAAGCGAGGAGTGTTTCAACGAGCGCGCGGGGTATGCGATGGAGAGAAGCCTATAAACGTCTGCGAAATTATCACCGTCGTGGAACAAGTCCTTGAAAAAAACGGAGACGAATGCGAGGATGACCTTGTGCACATGGAGGTCAACGCCGTCGCCGGCGCGAAGGATGAGATCGGAAGGGGGAGTGTTCTCTTCAGGGTCTGGATCTGCCCTGCCGAGAATGCTGCTGGGGCATCTTGAATGGCATCGTCCGACATGAGTGGTGGAGAAGTGAGGGTCTTCGAGGGGGTGATGTACCACTGCCACCCCCTGTCTACCCATTTGTTTGTTAGCACAGCATCGATGAACGTGATTAAGACTCAGGAAAATTCGCAACCGGGTGAGATCAACATTCAAACGGGATGGTCTTGGGGTTTTTCTCCGCAGTGACTGAATATGAGATGAGAACGTCAAAACTGTATTCAGCGGATCACGGTTTACAGCACAATGCATATTCAGATTGATTGTTGTTCGTCCAGATTCCATCGTGTACAGGTACTACTTGAAGGCGCCGGCAAGCCATCCATTCACTGCGTAGAAGCCAGAGACCTTGTTGGGCTCCGAAATCACCTTGATGCTCCCTCACGGATTCTCGACGGGCCCCAACCCAGAGATGAGCTGTGCGCCGGCGGCACGCAGCAACGCTGCCTCGCCTTCCGCCTCTTCGCGGTTATACACCTGCAGTACGAACGGAGAATGAGGCAAACTCCGAGTTGCATAAGCAAGACCGCACCGTGAAGATGCTCGGGAGCTTCCGCTCAACAAGCACCTTGAAAGTCGCGGCCCACGGCTGCATCGATTGCTGCGACGCGCCGGAGTTGAAGACGATGCACAGATCGGGCTTCTCAAATTTTGTGCCTTGGCTAGAAACGAGGTGCTGGAAGAGGAAAGGAATAACAGTCACGCCCACTCGTCAATTGGAAACGTACTCAGCAACATGTTCGTGGATAGGTTTGCGGCCCCGTTCAGTGCAAGATCCTCTGATGAATAAAACTACAGCGGCAAGCACCGGCTTGGACGAACGACGTACGAGTAGGTTTCCATGGCAATGATCTTCGGGACGCGCCCACCAGGCTGTTCAGGGCCCCATATCACTAACTATTTGACGCATCAGGTTGGACTGAAGCGTTCGTTGCGGTCCCGCACCTTCAGCGTCTTCACCTCCGGCAAACGGTGAAGGATTTCTTCAAATACCATCGCACTCTCGATTTCTTTCTGAGCAGCACTGAGGATCTATTGCGGGTCGGATTTTGAAACAAAAAGGCGAAGGAGAAATTCACATGGATTGTGAGTGTATGCTTCCTCGTCCACGAATCATCATCTTTCAGCCGCTCAAGCGCATATATGATCGTCATTGCCAGAGTCAAGTTGTTGGAAACAGCGCGAATCCACGGCGCCATCGGGCGAGAATCTTGCAAGCGAGCTCCGCGCGGCCTTGACGCAGTTGGGGGCCCACATGAACTCACCGGACCACTCGCGCGCCTTCGCCATTATATCGTCGAACATGATGTCCCCGCGCACCTCGCGGTTCATTTCGCAGTGCGTCAGCCCGTCGTGGCCGGCCCGTGGTGCAAGTCTTGCGCCGCCTCTCAATGCGCCGGCGAGCAGCAAAAGCTGAGATTGCACCGCGGACACGGAATGAGGTGCGCGAGCGGCTCGGAATTCGTACCTTTCTTCGCAGCTTCCATGCGAATAAGCTGGTCCGTGCGAGTGCTGCGACGTAGGTGCTATTGTATCACTGGGCGGAAAACGCAACGAGGAAACGACGCACCACACGATACAGCGCGGTTCTCATCCCACCAAGTTGCGTTCGAGAAGCGTAGCCGGCCTTGTCGGAAAGACATGTGAGTAAGACGAACTCCACTGGACGGCATTACCTTTTCAGACTACGTTGGCAGAAGTTGAGAATATTGGTTCCGTGAACCTCCGTCATGTTATGAAGTACATTCAAATCCGTGGTACTACTGGTAGGTTCATTCGGAAAGCGAGAAGAAGAGCGCTGCTACAGCCAGAGGATTGCTTTTTTTCGATCGCGCCGAGAGCCTTGCACATGAGCTTGTGCGCTTTCCAATCGAGCTGTGTAGCCAGGTCGGATCACACGAATGATGAGCAATGGAAACCATATCCACCTTCTGGCACTCCGAGTCTGCGATTCTCCGCTTCAATAAAAATGACTACGGCTGCAGATGGTGCCACTCAACGTACCAAGGCTGCAATACGAGATTCTGTGACATGCGCTACATCGCGAAGGGCGTACGTCGTCTTCCTTGTAAAATTTATAGCAAGCGAGGCCAAATCTCGCGGGCAGTGTGGGGACTCTTTCCTGTTGCATGACGGTGATTGACAGAAGGGATTCAAACTCCGACGCGACCAGACATACACCAACACCCAAACTAACACAATGAAAATGTTTAGGAAATATAAATATTCACCCGATCGTGTTCCTTGAGTCCCGATAGGTGCGGTGAATCTCGAGGCGCTAATATTCCTGAAATTATTATCCAATCTCACTCGCGCTTGCAAGAGGTGGCGGAGTGACTGTCAGACTGCCAGTCTGTTCAAAACAGGTGTTACAGTCAGACGCGACAAATTCACCATTGACTGCTGGCCACACACAGCGATCCTTCGATAATCAAGATGAAGCGACTCAGAATCAGTATATCCGAAACACTTACAGCCGTTTCCGAAAACCCTAGGACGCGCATTTTTTTTTCCTTTCACAACTTTTGATAAAATGATAAGGATGTCCATTTTTGGAAAGGGCCGGCCCAGACCAATCACAAGATCCTTGATTACCGCTTGATTCCCGCAAATTCTCCTCCGTTTCTCCATGTCTTTTGTTCCATTGCGGTAGACCATGATAAGATGAGAGAGCTCATCGGACGACAGATCTAAGTATGACGCTAAGTTACAAACTTGGATAGCCGTATCGCCCACGCATAATGACACATGACTCATAGGTCTGGGCCGGACCTTTCCAAAAATGAACATCCTTATCATTTCATCAAAAGTTGTGAGAGATGAAAAAAAAATGCGCGTCTCAAGGTTTTCGGAAACGGCTCTAATTCCGATCCGGCGTTCTGAGCGTGCTCAAACGGTTAGGATGTCCAGACGACTCGAATCAATACTGACTCTCATGGCGATTCTGAACGTTCAAGCACATCCCGACCGCAATCTAAATGCGATTCCTTGCGCTAGCGAGTGGTATAATTACCGTGGAGCCTACTAGACTACACGGCTATCCCGTCGTTCATCGGAATCTGATGGGTTGCAGATCCATTGGATTCCAACGGGTAGAATTTTTCATTTCTCTCTGTTATCATATTCCAATGCACGGCTCCTTGACCGACGGGTTAGAAACCTATGTCTGGCTACATTTTATATTTTTTGAAAGCCACTAGCGAGCGTAAAAGCAAAAACGCCATTTTTGGACCGTTGGAATCCATTGGATATGCAACCCATCAAAATCTGATGAACGATGGGATAGCCGTGTAACTACACTCGACTGACTAGTTGAACGGAACACCCATCAAGCAGTGCCGCCGAGCTGAAGGCAGGTCCCGGCGATCGGCGGCCGGAGCCCGCGGGTTCATCCACCGCTCTATGGTGTGCGCAAAGCACTAGAGTGTATCCAACCAGCCCGAATTGCCGCTAGAAATCGTTCCGCGCTCGCACTCCTACGGTTCTACTAGCTTGCCAACTTCAGACGGCCGACGCCGGCATCCGCAAACTGTGAACAAAATAAACCCGACGATG